GATCTAGCCACATCTGTTCTCTCTCTATACATCAGTGAGATGTATAGTTTAGGTAACAAGTGATAGAACCAGTGATTATCTTCTTGGTTTAAGCTTCCATTTTTCTTCCATCACATAGCCAATAGCTGTTCTTCTGTCTCTACTTTTTCTGGTTGTAATTCCAAGGTGATGGATGTGGAAGTCGCAGGTGTGTGTGTATGTGTGCATGTGCATGTGTATCAGAGAGAGAGAAGTGGTTGATGGACTGACTTGAGTTGGACTATGCCTGAATGAAGGCTCCTCAAGCCTGGATGAGCTGGTGCAAAAGGCCAGCAAGAGTAAGAATGGGAAGGGTTGATTCCTACAGCAGTGGTCCTTGCTGTGTACTGGCCCTGAGACACTCTTGGGGAAGAAAGCGCCATTTGCTCAATTGATCCTGGCCCAGCTTGGCCTACACATGCTCTTTTGGGCTTTGAGTGTGTAGTGCTGTGTCTGTGCCCAAGGCTTTAATGACAACAGGCAAAGCACTTTTTTCGAATACCAGACAAACGCCCAAGTTGGCATTTTGAACCCCACGGGATGATTTCCAGGCCATATTTCCAGGCCATATTTAATTCCATATCTATGTACCAAGCACAGCCCAGAAGACTCCTCCCCATAAATGACCCTGTGCTCTTCCTCCTCAATAAAACCAAGACCAAATTTCTTGGAAGTCTTTTTTCTTAGGCACAAGATATAAATACACAGCCATTGAGTTTATCTGTGCAGTTAGGCATGCTGCCTTTTAAAATATTTTCTTTTTGTGCCATCTACTCTCCATACATTGTAATGATGCCCCTCATCCTGGGGGCTGCCTCCAAATAGGGATGGTTGGAAATTCTAAGGCAATTGCAGACCTGGTGCTTTGGAGAGCTAATTTTCGGAGTGAGAAAGTGTTTTTGGCTGTCAGAATGGGGAGAGAAAGTGCACTTCCTCTGCTCCAGTCCTGAGAGTGAGTCTGTGGTCCATGGTGGTTGTGGTGGTTGTGGGCCCGGGTGTGTTTGGGCAGCGTTTTTAGTAGGGGCTGGTTGCTTGTTTTCTTGTTCCCTTTGTTGGCTGTAGGGAATGCACCAAGTGGCCTCTGGCTCTTGGACTTTCACTGATTAGTCACTTCCGGGTGGAGTCCTATGCCTTTTACCCACAGGGCTGCGTGCTTGCTTTGCCTTGTAGAAAGTCCAGGAGGAGGAGAACAATACCAGCAAGGCGCCCACCATCCTGTCGGAGGATCATTTCTGAGAGAGAGAGAGGTGGCAGCCACTCAGGGATCACGAACACCCCACCTCTTCCTTCAGCTCAGCTCTCACTGCCAGCACAAATGTCTTCACTGGAGAAGCTTGTGGAGGGAATCAGTTGGAATATTTGCGCCTTACATGGCGGCACCTCTGCCTTCTGAGCCCACTCAAGAGCCCGAATGCTTTAGTTGGGGGAAAGTGTACCTTTCACCAAATGCACACTGGATTCCCATCCCCCCTCCTTTTAGGTCCTGGGTGCTGGTGCTGGGTGGGAGGGACTGATGGAGAGTGTTGGACTCTGGCTTTCCCTCATCGCCTTCATCCCTCATGGAGAATGCTTGCAAAATTATCACAGAAGAAAGCTTATTCAGGATATTAACTTTTTCTAGTGTTTTAAGACCCTCACGTGAAGCCCAGTTTTTACTAAGGAGGGGCAAGTTGCTCTGACTGAGGGTCATTCCTGGGTCTCAGATGGACCACTCAAGTTCCCTGAGAGGGCAGCACCGTGTGGACAACCTTGGTCAGGAAAGCTCTGTTAGGACTCTTGGCCTCAGGTCTCCTGGCCTAGTGTTGGGATTTATCTCCAAACCCTCTTTCCTAAGACCTTATCAGACCAAACATCAATAAACTGGACAGAAACTTTGTCACTTTGTCATGGACACAAAAGAGAAAGTGTTTTGGGAGGGCTGATTCCCTGGGTGTGACAGTGCTCGGGCTGCCCTCTGATTGGGTTTGTGGGGACCCACCTGTGGCAACTCTAGAACTTTTGAGTTGAGATGGGAAAGAGGTTTTTCCTCCAAAAGAAGGGCTCATGCAGGGACTTGTGGGTGTCACCGGCCACTCAGTTACCTTCATCTGGATATCACACTCAGACATTAGCCCAAGTGCCTGTTTTATCCTGAGGGAGGGCAATCATGGCAGCTGATTCTAACCTTTACTGGAAACTAATCTTGATCCTTCCACTCCAACAAATCCAAGGCTGACTCTAAGAGATGAGAGGGAAGAAGGAAAGGTGCTTCTCAAAGCTGGCATCGAGCTGCTGGAATGACACATTTCCCGCCTCGGATGGGGATAGGTTTGCATACCAACCCCTCTTCCACCTCCTGTAATAATGTTTATCAGTCTAAATTTAAAGGGTGTCCCTTCAAGTCAATTTAAGCCGACCTCTCTCCTGTCTGCCCTGCTGTCTGGCTCTTTCATGGGCTTCAGTGGTGTCTTCTGAAAATAAGAGAAATTTTGGTAATTTCTCCTATGCCTTTCACAGCTGTAACCATGGCCACTGTGCTCTTTTGCTGTGGTCTCTGCCCTGGACTCTGTATGTCAGAGGAGCCGGGGCTGGCTGAAGTGCTGGGGTGCTTGGACTACTGCCAGAGGGGAGCCAGACGTGTGTGTGTGTGTGTGTGTGTGTGTGTGTATGTACACAGATTCAAGCAATAGGAGAAACACACTGCCTATGTAATAAAAAGTTCACACTTTTGACAGAGGGAGGGATGGGGTGAAAGGGAGATGTGCCTTTTGACAGGAGGAATGTGTGTATTCTTTAACCCCTCAAAATGTATTAACGTGTTTACTGAATCCATTGCTGTATTTTTGAGAAAAAAAAAACAACCACATTTGTATTTCCTGTTTGTAATTTCAGATGTTTTAAAGCAATAAAGGATTCTCACATGATCTGTCCGGTCATTTGTTGGGGCAGAGAAGGCTTTGGGGAGTCTCCGTGAGGTTGCCACACATCAGAGCCTGAGGTGGGGAAGGTGCAGGGGTCAGGGAGGAGGAGTATCTGTGACCTCTTTTGACATGGGTGCTATTATCCTGGTGGCTTTTTAAAAGACTATGAAGGTCCCTGTCAGCCTACATGGGACACTGCAACTCAACAGCCAGCATGACCCTGACCTCTTTCCTCCTGTGTATATGCTGGAATGTGACCGTTGGTAAGACAGCTCACTGTTGTTCCTGGCTCTGCCTCAAAGGATCGCTGAAGTGTTTGTTCTCAGTCACCCCAGCCACACACCAGCTTGCCCTGGCCGGAGTCCACAGCTGGGGCCTAGCATCTGTCCTTCTGCTCTTTTTTTCTTTTGAGCTGGGCTGCTTACTGCCACTCCTCACCCAGTTGTGTTCCTTTCCCTTACAACTGTTATTTAGAGATGCCTGCTGCTCTCAGTTTTCTGTACATTTTGTTCCCTAGAGATTTGTGCTGTACTTCCGGCACTGTGGCACCCCATTATTAGCAATTCTTGGCTAGAGAGACAGCATTATGATTCTACTTTAAATGATCTGGGAAGGAACTCAAGTTGGCGTTGTTAAGAAATCTCCTATTCATAGTGCCTTCTAAACTCTCTACCTGCACCATCTCTTTAGTATCTTACCTTTACATGAATCACGTTTCTATGACAGTTAGAGGACCCAAATCATTCATTCATTCTTAGTTGGTCTCCAGGTAGGTCTACACTGGAATGCTAACTCTAGGACTGCTGCTTCTCTTGCTGTCTCCACATAGTGGATAAAGAAGAGTTCGTACCACACAGCTCTTTTTTCTACATGTGGTGTCCTGGAGATGTGACGCCTGGAATTACTGCGCCCCCTTTTGGTACCATAAAGGAAGCCAGCCTGGGGAGGAAGGAAGAGCAGCTCCGCAGAACTGAGAAAAACAGAGAAGTGGAGCTAGAGTCCTGATCAAGCTATTCCTGAAGCTTATAATCCCAGTCAGTCAGGTTAACTTTACATTTAAGCTAGTTGAAGGTAGGTTTTGTTCCTTCCACTTAAAGAGCCGACAGAGAATTCCCAAAGTATTTAGGTAGAAACATCGAACATCCTTCTTAGTCCTACAAGCCTCCCTTTCTGATCTATCCTGCTGTCATGACACTGATCTTACTCCTTGAACTCCTTGAACAAGACTGTCCCTGCCTACCTGCCCCCTCTACCCTAACTGCTTGCTTTGTATCTGAAAACATCTGATTCCTGAGCATTCAACTCTGAGATGAAACCCCCACCTCGGGAGGACCTTTCTGGTGATCGAGATCCTCCCACGTCCACCACCTCCACCCCTTCTTGATGAAAACAGCTTGTTTTCTCTAGCATTCTTCTATCGGTAGTTCTGCCTTCCTGGCCTGGCTTGGCTACAACATGAGGCTCACGGGAGCAGAGGCATTGCCATCTTGCTCATTTCTGTTTCCTGTGTATCTGGCATGGAAAAGTACTCAATCAATATTTGTTGAAATATCGAGTGGCCTTTCTGGCATACACAGTGTGTGGGGGGCCCAGCCAGTGGAGGCTCACCAGGTGGTGTGGAGGGCCACTGTCTACTCTGGTACATCACCCTCGGGATCTAGCTGGTTCCTTTTCATGGTCATCCAGCTATTTCTTCTGTGGTGCCTAATCCTACTTTGTTTGTGTGTTTTCAGTCATCTGTTTCTTCTTTAGGAAGATCCAGAAAGGGAAGAAAGGGTCCTGAGGTTGAAATATGAACTTAGAATCATATTTTAATTTTTTTGGCAGTGTTGGGGATAGAACCCAGGGCCTCATGCATGCTAGGCAAGGGCTCTGCCACTGAGCCACAATCTCAGCCCTGTGAACAGAGAATCTTGAAGATCCAAGAAGAGGAAGATCTGACCTCAGAAATACAAGAGATCTGATCAAGTGACAATAAGGAGCTGGAGGCCCCCAGTATAACTTGGGACACAAGCTGTGGTGAACCTTATCAGGCAGAAAGCTGTGGTGCTCTCGGCCAAAGTACGAGAACTGATCAAAGCCGAGGGTTTTACTATTTATTACAAAATTCATTACACAAATACAGCTGACCAGAAGGTCTAAAAACAGCCCAGACTCTTCCAACCCTCACCCACCTGTAGTAAAAGAAGAGCCACAGTCCTGCTCACACAGAAGAAGAACTGCCTGTCCTTGGCGGGTTCAGAGTTGAGAGTCTAGCAGCAGAGAGGAGCCCAGTGTGTGGACAGCCCCTTGAAGCAGCCCTTGGTCACAGCTGCGCGGGGTGGGCAGCAGCTTCAGGTTTCACAGTTCTCACATCCCCACCACGACCCAAACCGAGGAACGGAAATAAAAAGGGCAAAAAAATTAAAAAAGCAGAACAAAAGCAGAAGGCTGGAAGAAGGAGCCTACGGGAGGCTGCAGGTGGGGAGGACACACAGCGGGGGCTTTTGAGGGGCAGGTGATTTCTTGACTTGGGTGGCTTATTTGAATGTTGACTTTAAAATTATTCTTTAAATTGTACATATATGTCGTACACTTCCCTGTGTGCATGTTATGTCTTAAATGTTTTTAAATGCCAAAAAAAAAAAAAAAGCAAAACCTCAACAACTTAAAAGGCCAAAAGTGAGTAAAGGGGCTGAGGATGGAGCCCCAAAGAAGAAATTAAAGAGCAGAGAATGAAGGGGAGACAGAGAGGTGGGAGGTGGCGATGTGGCCTCAGTTCCTCTTCTTCTGTCTGGATGCTGGCTCTGCTTCTAGGTACTGGAGCCCGACTAGCATACCCAGGATGGAGAAACCTTGAACACAGAGACAGGTGAGTGGAGATGTAAACACGGATGCTGGGACAGTTGCTGAGGGAGGCCTGGGGGTGGGGTGGGGTGCTTACTTGCCACCATCAGTGGGGCCAGGACACCAATTGTGGGTGCAGCAGTTCCAAATACAAACAACTCAGAGAGGAAGTGCCCCAGGGCGAGGAGGAAGGTCCAGAGTGTGATGTGGTAGAGGCTACAAGAGAGCAGACAGAAATGGGAACGGACATTATTGCTTGTTTGGTGCAGCATGGCAGGAAGTATTAGTCAGACTTGATACACAACCATGTGACTACGGCTGAGGAGAAAGGATGCGTGTTCCTGAGAAATACCTGGCTGCATGATCACCTCAATTTGTTCTCACCTAGGATAAAACGAAAGGCTTTGAAACTAAAGGTAGCTCTGTGGCTCATCTGGGAGGAGAATGGTCCAAGCACTCAGAGTGGGTCCCCAAGTCATAGCAAGGTAGAGAAACCGGCTACAGTGAGGCAGACCCTGGATTATGGCAACCCTAGGCCGTACGTACCACTGTGAACCATCACATCTACATAGTCTGCTTGTCCAATTTGGCAGACTGTCTAGTCTAAGCCCACCTGGTAGATGTCTGCCCTGTGCCGGTCAGGGTTTAAAAGATAGATGACACAGAACGAATGCCTGGAATTGAGAGGAAGGAGTAAGACATCTTGGGGCTTTTAGATTCACTTGCAGCCAGTTGTTTTGTGTCTTGGCCTACAGAAGTGGTTAGAGGGAGGACTCAAGGACCCCTGGGGTAAGAGCTTGTTCTTCAGTTTTGACTCCGAGATGAAGAAGAGACAGGCAACTGGCTGGTGAACCTCTTGGATTGCTGATATTCTTTTTTGAAGTATGAAATTAAGGAAAAAATTAGGAAATACTTCAAATATATTAAAAAGATGGTAGCATGTTATAATGAACCCCAGTGCAACTAACTAATATGCAGTTCCATCAAATCTTAACATTTGAACATTTTTGTTTCAGAAACTTTTTTCTCTAAGAAATGAAATATTATATCTAACCATTATAGCATTCTGTGCACCCTTATCCTACCCTGATCCTGTTGTCCTCCCTCTCCCTCCCCTAGAAGTAGTCAATATCTTAAATCTGGTTTTTATCATTCTGGTACATGCTTTTATATATTAATAGACATGTATGCATGTGTGCTGATTTTGAGTCTCAGACGCACGTCGGAAATGCATGGATCAAAGTCCTAGGCTAGAAAGGACCAGAAATAGCAAGTCAGCATTCGCAGCTGTCCTGTGTTGGGAAAATTGGAGAGGTGCCTGGGGAACAGAGGTAAGGACAAGTAAGACTTATCTCTGCTTACTCTATGAGCACAGAAACAGAAGTTGATCTCTTTTCCTATCATGGTAAAGGTCTTCTTCTTCTTCTTTTTTTTTTTTTTTTGATTTTGTACTTGGAATTGAACCCAGGGGTGCTTTACCACTGAACTACATTCCTAGCCCTTTTTAAAATTTTGAGACAGTGACCCAAGTTGCTGAGATTACAGGTATGCGCCACCACACCCAGCCATAATAAAGGTCTTTAAAATGATTATTCAATCCTCCCTCCCTGTCACCCTGAGAAGTAGAACAGCTATTTGTTATCATTTTATAGATGAAGAGACCAAGGTGCAGAGAAAAGTAAATAATGGACTTGTTTCTGTAAAGCTAATTACCAACAAAATCGAGACCAGAATACATTTTCTTGTTTTTATTCTTGGTCCTGGGACATTTCCACTAAACCATACTGCTTCCAAAAATATGTGTCAATCTGGGACAAGTAACCACAGTTTCAAGTTAAAAAAAAAAAAAAAATTAAAGTTGGAGAGCTTAAATCCCTTGATTCAAATACCACTTGAGTCAGTCTTCCTCAGTTTAAATTAATTGGGTCTCTAATATTCAGATCTGCAAAATCAGGAATGAGAATCCAGGGCTGTTAGGAGGAGACTTAATCAAGGTCATGTACATGAAATTTCCTGGCATAATTAGGGGATTCAAAAAATATTACTGCCTTCTCTCTTCCCAGATGCTGAGAGCTTGGATATGACAAAAATATTTGCGAGTGAGGCTGTTTTGACAGCCTCACCCAGAGAACTGAGCACACGTTTTCACCTAGCTTGGGATAATTATTGCTGAGGAAAGCTTGAGCCCCCTCCAGTGGCTAGAGCGGGATATGGCATTGTCTAGACAGGAGGCTAGGCCTGCCTGAGATTGTTCTGCACCTTGTCTTGGTCCCCACAGAGGCAGCAAGGGGATTCTCCCCCACCCTCAACTACTGACTCTGTAAAAGCATGTCAGTTTACTTTGTGGTTCCTCTTTTTTCATACATCAAGATTTCTGATCATTCCTGCTGCTTAAAGAGGAATGTGAGAAAGTTATGTGTGGGTGGTTACTCTAAAAAGATCATATCGTGGCTCAGTGGCAGAGCATTTGCCTGCCATGCACCAGGTCTTGGGACTGATCTACAGCTCTGCAAAATAAATCAAGATGACAATAACAACAAACGGAAGCTAAAAGAGTACATCATTCTACGTCTTTAGCAGAAGAAAGGCAGATTCTTTAGTAAAGGAATGGAGGGATATGATGCAGACCACTAGGTAACAACACTGCCAGTCTGCTATGTTAGTTCCAAAGATTTTTCAGATATTAAAGAAGACTTGTTAGGCCTATTATGTTCTTGGATGGACCCTACTGGCCTTTTATTAGCAACACTCTAAGCTAATGTAGTAAAAGGATTAACAGGTCTCAACAGAGAGGGCAACATGCCTAGCACCTGATTTTCAATAAAAGGATGCTAAAGTTCTTCCTTCCCTTACATACGTCTTGTTGTGGATGTCAATGGCACAGAGGCAGCGAATCACCGATGACAACAGGGTCCAGATCCCAAAGGTCCGAGCTTGGAGGCCATTTACTGTGTAGTAGAAAAAAACAAGAGTGTTGATAAGGGGGGGTGCCTTCCACACTCTGGATATTCATAGGAGATAGCTGAGCCTCACCTCCCTGTAGCTGGGCAGAGTGGAGGCTCTGGTGTCATACCTGGGGACTAAAAGTAAGGGAAAGAAGGAATTCCAGAATGAGGACTGCTGAGATCCTCTTCAGATGTCTACAGTTAGAAGGGGAATTGCCAAGAGTGGATACCCAACAAAAAACCCACTTAGGCAAATAACTCTTAGATACAGCACTTTTTGTCTTCTCTGCCTGGAAGCCCAGAAAGACTGGGCGAGGACAGGTTTTAGGGAATGCTGTGAGATGGGTCTGTTAAAACGAGATGCCTGGGACCCAGACCCACAGACTTTAAGACTGATCCAGGGAGAGACCTCAGAGATATTGGCACCAATCTAGATACCTAAAAGATACAGTGAGACCTAAATCCTTGGATCTCTTTCTGAACCCAGATCTATGTTGTTTGAACAAAGCCCAAACCAGACTGGTTTTCTGTATATTTGGTAGTGAAATAAAGTGCTATTTCTTTGGGCTCTGCTGGGGACACTCTGTTTTGGATGGCTTCATTCTGGCACTGAGGCATTAAATACCCTTCCCTCAAAGTATGGTCATATTCCCCCATAACAGTGGTTCTTGACCCGGGCTGCTTATTACAATCAACTGAGGGAATTTTATAAAGTTACTGAGGGCCAGGTGGCAGATCAATTACACCAAACACTCTAGAGGTGGGCACTGGCTTAGGTATTTTCTAGAAACTCCCTGCTCGGGTGACAAATGTAGGGCCACTAATTTAAGGCATCCAGTGGCTTGGAAATGCCAAACAGTGAAGGTAAGATACTTCCTTTGCTGGTTTATCCCTTCCTGAGCAAGAGAAATTTCAAGGGACAAGACTGATGACTGAAAGATCTCTTCATGTTAATTGGGCTTCAGGGATTTTCTAGCCTTTGGAAAGGTTCATGGCTTTACCAAATTCACAGCATTGAGCACCTTTAGTTGGTAGTAAGAAAAAGTTCCATATGCCAACCAAATATCTAGCATTAGCCCTAGAGGGCTACCTTTTTTCTTTTTGTTTCAGCGTCTCAATACACACTAGGCAAGTGCTTTACCACTAAGCTACATCCTCAGCCCAAGAACTACATCCTTTTGTAAATAATTTGATAGCTTTTCCAAAGAGAAGACTGAGGAAATTTTGCTCTCATTTGTAAGAGACTTAAGTGGAATGCTTCAGTAGGCCTAACCAGACTAGGACCAGGTAAAATTCAATGGGACAGTCCAGAGCATGGTACCATTAGGAGAACACCACAGGAGCCCCCAAATCACTGGACGCAGGCAGCTTCCACCCCTTCTCCTGACATATATGTTCTGCTCAGCTGTACAGCAAGTCATATGACCTCTGCGTTTCTCAGTCTCGACTTTAAAATCAAAGTGCTAGACCAGATGACCTCTAAAATTCTGGGCATCTATATAGGCTTCCATGAGGCAGCCCTGAAAGGTGAAAACCCAGAAATTTCCTGCTTTCCTTTGCAGGTTCTTTACTCCTAATATATTTGAGCTTTGTTCAAAATGATCCTTAGCCTATTTAATTTCATTTTATACCTAGATGTAGCAGAAAGATGAGCTAGGTCAGAGCAGGAATCTGGGTTAGCTGTTAGTGTGACACAGAACTGACAGCTGCTGTGAAATAATGCTATAGCTCCAAGTACCCCACACACCCACGTGGTGAAGTACAAGCTATAGTGTAAAAATGCTCTCTGCAGAGAGGCTCGGGACTGGGGAGAGCCACTATTCTGAAATTTTTTTCATTCTGGAAGACCACTTTGAAGGGATCTGGGGAATCTGTTCAGGGACTACGTCGCTGCCTGGGAAGACCCTGGATAGTACTGTCCCCACCTTTAACATGGAACATGGACCAGGTGATTTCTGAAGAGGGCGCTGGGATTCTGAAGCTTCTTGATGTCTTTTGAGTGGAGCATCCCAGAGTCACCAAGCAACTCTATTCTCTCACTTTCTCTAATAAACATTTTTGTACACTCTAACTGCCCAGGGAAGTATAAAAGGAACAAAAAGGTATCCAGGGAAGCTTGGGGAGAAAGGGTCAAGTGCTTTCTATGGTTTGTTAACTCTAATGGCTACCAAAGCATCAGAAATACCTGGAGGTTTTCAGAAACTGGATTCCTGAGCTTCTCCCAGGCTCATTAATTAGATTTGGAGAGAGAAATAGGTGCCTGGATTTGTTTTGAAGTTTCCCGGGTTGTTCTGATGTACAGCCTGCCTTGGGAACCAAAGCTAGATCACTCCCACATAGGATGCAGTTTTTAGAGTTCTTACCGAGGTTTGGCTTGCCAGTGTAGAGCTTTTCATAGAGAAAGGTGTGGTCCCGGAAGCTCTGGAGTGTGTTTCCCATGGCTATGATGGATACTATAACCAGCCAGCTTCGCAACACATTCAGGAAACGGCTCATGACTCCCTTAGACCAGAGGAGGTGTTCTGCCTTGGAAACAAAGGCAAAAGACATGAGGCGATGAGGGTCAGTCCACTTTAACCATAGCCCTCTCACCTCTGTGGTTAGCTTGTATTCCACACATGAAGGCTGTTCAGAGCTTAGTTGACCAATCACTTCACAAATTCCTCTCCAAGTTCTTTCTATCCATTCGCCCCTGGTTTTCCTAACACACTACTCTTACTTCACAGGGTTAGCCTGATATCTGTGTATATTTACCTTAAATCAAAGTGACAAAGGTTCTATAATACAGTGGGTGGACATGACCAATTTGCCAGGATAAAATGGAGAGAAAAGGAGGTGAACAAACATCATTATTATTATGTTATTATATTATTATAAAGTAACAGAATGGATCTCTGTGTGAGGCTTATGGAAACTGGTCCCAATACTTAGTCACACTAAGAGTGGCGAATGAACTGTATACTTTTCAATAAGTGACATAGTACTTATCTTTGTCTAAGTACTTTCTCCAAAATACAGGAATACCCTAAATCAGAACTTCTTTCTCTTAGCTGGAATCAGTACTTCTATATCTTTACTTTTTCATACCATTCCTTTGTCATGCAAGTGGCTTAAAAGTGATTGATTTTAAGTCCACTACAGACACCTGCCTGGATATTGTTGACAGATTCTTTGAAGCCTATAAAACCCTTATACAATTGAGTGGAACCTGTGGTATAATGGCACTATTTATATCATTAGGTTTTTCTCACTGTGGTTCCCAGATATACCATGCTTCATAAACTAGGACAATTTAAAAGTTTAAAAAAAAAAACTGCTGTGACTTTATGGAGAAAGAAACAGCAATCTTGGTACTGGGTTGTAAGAAAATTTACAATAGCCATCAATTATTGGGCACTTGTGCCATGCTCTGTGCCAAGAACTTAACATATATCATCTCATTTAATCCTTACAACAAGGTGGACAGATACTATTAGTATTTCCATTTTATACATGAGAGTTGGAAGATAAGTGCCTTGCTTGGGGTTATACAGCTAACATGTGGCAGGGAGATCTGTTAGACTTTGTTGCTAAACTATCTCACTGAGAATATTTTGATGATGTTCCTGTTTTTGATGAAGACAAACATACCATATCCATTTCTGTCTTCAAGTATATTTAAAGCTTAGACCAAATATTTAAATCTTAGACCAACCCTTGTTGAATAGTGATTTCAATCAGTTTGACTTGAAGGCATACCAGATAAAGAAGTTCTAATAAAGAACAGCTTCTTCCCATATTCATTATTATCTTTTGGTCCAAGTTTTCTCTGTTGTCTGGTTAACTTCTTGGGCCTGAAGTGACAATAAAATATTGGGCTTCCTTTGACACTTTGGCAGTAGAGTTTCAGTACAGTTCCATGCTACTCAGCTGAGTTAGGTTATTTAAGTCAGCAACTGCCTGAGACAGTGTGATTTCTTTCTTGATTTCTCCAATCAAGAAAGAGCTCTAGAGAAGAAAAAGTGAATTGATGAGCTCCTCAGGGAAATGTGTGTTACAAAGGAGGACTCTATCCAAATTCTGAGTGCATAGGTGTCTATTGGACATCACTGGCATTTACAACCTGGGCCATGAATCACCTATTCTTTTTATTTCCTCACCCCCTCTCAATTAGAGCTTCATGTCTCTTGCCGGGGTTAGAAAAGTTGCATGGATGCCCTCATGCCACGCCCTTTCAGCAGAACTTATGACTCCCATTTCATAAATCTTAGAAATCCCAGCAGATAGCTGCAGACAAGAACCTGGCCATTTCTGAATTGCTCCACCAATTCCTCAATCCCATTTCCCTAAAGCTTTAGGGTCTTATCAGAGTATACAACATTTATCTTCAATTCTTCCCCGGCCCAGTACAGCATAGGTGTTAAAAGTTAAGAGTCAGGAGAGAGGAATTCCTATTTTAACCCTACCATTCAGTAGCTATGGGGCCCTGGGCAAGTCATTTATACTCTGCAACTCGGTTTCCTCATCTGCAAAAGGGAGATACAGATATATGCCTCAAGGGTTATAGAAATTACATGAGAAAAAGTGAAGGCTCCTTGCACAGTGCTAAGTTCACAGAGGCTTCTCATTCATTCATCCATTCCTTCATTTTCCCAATTTACTCCATGTTCCTGACTCTCCCTTGTCATCTTCTCTCGAACCCCTTTCCCCCAAAGGTACCCCCCTGGCAACCTCTATTATCCCAGGCTCTCCAAATCCTCCCAATCAGATGCCACACAGACACCTTCAAGCTCCTTCTCCAAGTTCTCCTACCTGGCGATCGGACCCCCAGCACCACAGAACCAGCAGCAAATAAGCTCCCCTAGGACTGCTCCAGCCGCAAGTCCACCTGAGCCATTTGTCCCCGCCCCTGTCCTCAGCCGGGCTTCAGGATTGGGTCGTTACGGTCAGCCCTCTCTTTGATTGGCTGTTCCCGATACGCTGGAGCAGGAGATAGGGAGTGAACCCCTTCGCTGCCAATCAGCAGTAGCCGCTGCCTAAGCCTCTCCTCTGGTACGCCGCTCACTCAGTAAACCCTCCTGTTGAGCGTGGCGGAATTATGGATTTGGAATCAACCTTTTAGGGGCGGAGAAAATAAGAGTGGAAAATAGGAGCCAAGACACCCTTCTTTCGGCAGCAGGACTCAGCGCCCGCGCCGCGCCGCAGTGACGACATCCGTCAGCGCCCGCAGCTGGGCGTTGTCAGCGCCCGGTGGCGGCGCCTGCGCAGTGGCTCCGAGCGGGCGGTTGCTTGTTGGTTGTTGTAGTAACGGGGGAAGCAGCCGTCGGCGACTGCCGTGAGCCTGGCTGGGGAAGGAGGAGGAAGGTAGGCGCAGAGCGCGGTCCCCGCCTGCCTGCTCCGAGCCATGGGAAGATGAGACAGGTAAACGCCTGCGCTGGCTTGCTCCCCTTCCTTGGGAGGCGCTCTCCCAGGTCTGGGCAGGCGCCGTCCGCTGCACTTCCCCCGAGTCCGGAGCAGCTGTTGGCTTCCGGGCGCGCCAGGCTGAATTGCTGCTGCAGAGTGTCCGCGCCTTCCCCGTGGGGAGCACCCGCGGACCTACCTGGGATTGGGATGAGCTGAGGGCAGACCCTTCATGGCAAGGACTCCCTTTCAGCCAGACTCCTTTCATTTCCGAGCGCGGAGTCTCTCCTAGTTCTGCAGGAGCCCGGCAAAGGTTGGCATGCCTTCCTCTCTTGGAGCTTTGGCTTGTTTTAACTGAATGGACTTCTCAACATTTTGGGAAAAGATTGGGGAATCCCTTTTGGAATCCCCTGAAGAGAGTCACTAAGGTTGTTAGATATTTCCCCTTTTTTTTTTTTTTTTTTGCGAAAAATCTGTAGGAATCTTTATCCAGGTGGGTGTTTTTCGTCTTATTTACAATCTTACTGTTTATATAAATGCGTAGAAAAATAAAGTTTCAATGATAGAGTGGTGGTAATATAAAGAGGTCGTATAACTCACCATGGCAACTCTGGGGCAGGATATTAGATTCTATAGCCTGTTCTGCATACATTGAACCACAGTTGCTTTCCTGAATTCTTTTAGTAAGAGTCCAAATATCTTAGAAACATTGACACGAGATTATTATCTCTGAGTATTGAGATTATGGTCATTTAAACGTTTTTATTTTCTTTGTAGTTTCTGTTCCTTCCTCTAAAAATGTTTTTAAGTTAGAAATGCAGTATTGGAAATTTCCTAATACTATTAGGAAATCTTAATACCTATTTAAGATTAAGATCAAAGTTCGTGATTTTTAGTGAGAATAATTAAGAATATTTGGAAGGGCACTGAAAAATTTTCCCCACCTATTTATATGACCCTTGATTAGGAGGATTATATTCATAAATCTTTTAGTTCAGGTGAATTGTTTTTACTATAAATATGATAGCAGCTAGCCTGTGTGCTTGTCACAGTTTAAATAAATTCACAAGGGTCTGGAAACTTGAGTCTTAATTTTTATTTTTAACCTAGGTTGGATTTGTCTGGCAAGGAATCTGTTTTAGGGAACCAGCCGCCTACCTCAGATTGCCCTAAAAGTGAAGTGGATTTTCTGCTTTGGTATACGTTAGACTTAGTATATAAAAGACAAGGGAGAGAAATAAACTTAATTAAGTTCTACAACTACACAGAGCATAGACAGTATGTTTGAAAAAAATCTTGATTTTTGTGGCATATTTGAGGCACTGTGATAGAAGGTAGGATTCTGGAGATTGGGCACTATTTAGGAATATATTCCTTTTCATTATTTGGAAGATCACCAGCAAAATCAAGAAAGAGAAAGCTATATTATGTTTCAGATCACTTGATTTTCTTGCAGGAATCTGTGCCACCCAAATTGTCTGATCCAGTGAATCTGCAAGGAAAGGTCTCTGAGGCCCCTGTCTGCTGACTGCATGACAAACTCTAAAGGAAATGCCAGTTGTGATGGCCCGGGACCTGGAGGAAACAGCATCTTCCTCAGAGGATGAGGAGGTGGTAAGCCAAGAGTAAGTAACAGCAAGCCTGCTTTGACCCTTTACCTTTGGGGTGGAAAATAGTTTCTTTCACTCATATGTTCAACCCAGTATTCTTCTATTGCTATTGACTGGCTCTGGTTTTAGCTTTTATCCATAATCATGAGATGATCAAGATTTTATTTTATTTTATTTTTTTAAAGAGAGAATTTTTTTTAATATTTATTTTTTAGTTATCGGCGGGCACAACATCTTTGTTTGTATGTGGTGCTGAGGATCGAACCCGGGCGGCACGCATGCCAGGCGAGTGCGCTACCGCTTGAGCCACATCCCCAGCCCCAAGATTTTATTAGTTCCCATCACATATCAGAAATGAGATAAGGCTTTGTTTCTGTGTTCATGAGTGAATATCAGCTCTAGATGTTGTAAAATGTAGGTAGTAGCTTTTGGTGCACTTTTGAGCAGAACATCCAATAAGGAGACTCAAATTTTTAGATATTTAATAAAAGTAGGTTTCCAAATTGTGATGTTGACTGTTTTGCTAGTTTTCTCAAAAGCCTTTCAATGATAGAGTGGCGGTAATATAAAGAGGTCATATAATTTACCATGGCAACTCTGGGGCAGGATATTAGATTCTATAGTCTGTTCTGCTTACATTGAACCACATTGCTTTCCTGAATTCTTTTAGTAAGAGTCCAAATATCTTGATCGTTGGATCTTCATAATAAAAATGAATGATAGAAATAAGTGCAGCTGCTATAAATGATGATAAGGGCTTCGTTTCATCTGTTCTCATCTGTTCTCATTTAATATGGAGATTAAAGTATGATATTTAATTAGAAGATATTACTTCTACTTTATTAAACTTGGCCTTATAAATAGCAAGAAATTTCCTCAGGGACTTAGCTTTCCTGGATTTTGAAAAGCTTTGCTGCTTTGCCTCCTTTAATATTTGACACAGAATATAGAGACAGTTTGTCTTAAAGTTAAGATATCTTTTTTTTTTTTTTTCCTTATGTACTCTGCATCCTTTTGGATATATGTGTGCTGTGTAACCTGAAAAATAGGGATAGTATCTCCCAGGCTATTTTGTGTGGGTGTGGTTTGTATCGAATAGAATCATATGTGAGAAATTATTTGGTAAATTACATAAAGTACCATACAAATGTAAGACAAAATTCTAACTGGTTCATTGAATTTATGATAGACTTTTTATAGGGTAGAAGATTACATTACTTAATAGCATTTGAAGAAAACTATTGAAGCATTAATACAGTTTTGAGGAAAGACTTCTCCTCATCGTTAGGTCATAGAAAATAATAGGAATTTAACAATATATTTGGGTCATTCTCTTTCAGGATAATTAAATGGGTAATTCCCTCTGGTTACTTGGCCTTTTGTGCCATTTTTCTTTCAGAGTGTGGCCTTTTACTCCACAAAAAATTTAACTTCTGCAGTAAGCATCGGTCTTTCCATTTTTAAGATTGTTCCTTTACTTCATTAATGTCTTATTAGTGGGCTTAGAGGAAGGGCACAGACACTGCTAGTACTCCTCTGGTTTCCTGCCTATACTCCTAGTTGAGAAAGGCTAAGTTTCTTATAGAATTTACTGAAAATATAGATGTTATTTCTCTTTACCCCATCCAAATTTTTGGACCTTTTGCTTTTCTTTCTTTCAGACTTCTACTATTGAATTTTGACTTTTTTTCTTGTTCCATCAGCTCATTTTTGTTTATTGGACACTTGTATGTGAGCAATTTTATTCACAATAGGTTTACCTTGAGAAAGTTTTGAAACTTAGAAGGCCTTCAGTCGCATAATGATGTTGATTTGATCCAGAGATGTATGTCCTTAGACAACTGTAAGTAAGATCCACTCAGATCCCTAGGCTTTATGAAAGTATTAACGCCTTGTAGTCCTGGACTTTAGGGTTAGAAACCATCCTAGAAGTCCTTGTTTTACATAGCACTATTTCAAATAATAAATGTAAAGAGGCCATTCTGTATTTTGCTTGGGGATCCCAAATATATATTTATATGTAGAAGTAGAAATTTTCATATAAGAACTCAATATAAGGTTTCTCTAGTCACTGAAAAAATAGTAATCTTAATTTCTATCATGAAAAGTGATTTTAAATCAGTTAAAATATGAACAATAAACAATTTCACAGTGACTGCTGCAGGGGTTCAGGAAGGAGAGTGTGGTCGTGGACTGGAGGAGCTGGTGGTGAAAGCTCTATGGAAGTGGTGACATTTGAGGTGGGCTGTGGTGTGGAAGCCTTGCTAGCAGGGGCAGTGGTACGAAGAGGTCACAGTCGCAGGAGTGCTAACCTGCTGTATATCTCTGTCTTTGAATTATGTAGGCTGGGTCCCAGGAGTGAATAGTGTATATTCCTCATGAAATAGCTTCTTAAAAACCAAAATGTGTGGGGGCATAGCAGCATATTCCTGTAATCCCAGAGGCTCAGGAGGCTGAGGCAGGAGAATCACAAGTTCAAGACCACCCTCAGTACTTAGTGAGGCCCTAAGCAATTTAGTGAGACCCTGTCTCAAAATATAAAATAATGGGGTGTGGCTCAGTGATCAAGTGCCCCTTGGTTTAATCTCTGGCATCTAAATAAATAAATAAAAACCAACTATTAGACTTTCAATAAAATGAGCCATAGAACTGGTCTTCTTCAGTAATTAGTCTTGAAAATTCTTTGTCCTTTCATGTCTGAAAATGCATTTTCTTCATATTATCAGTTTCTGATGTGAATGAACCTGTGAGGTCCCAATGTTCAGTTTCCCAGTCATTTAAAATTTTACTTCCCATTAGTACGACCTGCTGGGAGCATGTTTTTAGTGACAGTTTAACATCTGCCTTAAGTGTTTTTCAGTTGACCATGGTGAACTAATGATTTACTACTTTTACCTTTCCATAGGTTATGAATGAAATGATTTCTCTGTCAGGGATATGGCTTCCTACAGACTGTAAATCAGGGCGGTGGCTCTTTCCAGCTGAGTGTCTGTCTATTGTGTTGCTGATCCGGTCGGGCATTTTTAACTGTAGCAGCCATCCATTGTTTGTAAGTGCTAAGGCACAGTGGTGCCAGTTTGTAGCTAGTGCTAGATTGACAGGGAACTTTGGATAGTTTCCAAAGTTCTTTTGTCCAAGACTTCATAGTGCAGGCTGCCTATCTGCTCCCTCTATCCACTGACATGAAAATATGGTGGAAAAATTATAGAGATCATAGGAATCATCTGGTCTGAGCCCATATTTTACAGGTGTTTAAGTTAAAAATCGAGCAAACCACCAAAACTCATCCTTGCTAAAACAAACAAACAAACAATCAAATAAATAAATAAGGAAAGAAAGAAAGAAAGGATCCTATAAACACCATTTCTCACAGATAGGTACCATGACCAAGAACAAGAACAATTAGCAGGTTGGGGTTGTGGCTTAGTGATAGAGTGCTTGCCTAGCACGAATGAGGCACTGGATTTAGTCCCTGGCACCACAAAAAAGTAAAACAAAATAAAGTTACTGTGTCCATCTACAACTAAAAAAACATTAAAAAACAATTAGCATTTGCATTCCATTTCTAGAAAACAGAAAATGAACAAGGTATGGCATTCTTTGCTGTCTTCACTAAAAAGCTGATGGCAGCTCAACCCAAGTCTACAGGCTGCTGAAACCTCTAAGATTAGTTGCCTGGTACCTGTGCATTCAGATTGGATTGGAAGGATGTGAGTTGGCCCTGAGATATGTGGTATGGCTCTTGTTAAGGGGTGTGGTCATGTGAGTTTTTTAGAGTGATTGTTGGCTAAATGAATCTTATTCCAAATAAGGAATTGATTCGTTTAAATTCTGGAAGAGTTGAGTTCAGGGTGTTCGATATGCTGAACTTCACTGAGATACGATTTTTCAGCAAAGGGTATAAAGAACAAGAGACCGGGGTTCAAAGACCTGTATACTTAAGCAGCTGTATGACCTTGGGCAAGTTACTGAACTTCTGAGACACTTTTTTCTAGTTCATCGTATGGACAAAAGGAGTAAGTGGGATGACATGAAAGTTCTTAGTTTCATTACTGGCCACATAGTAGGGACCCAGTTCCTTTAATTTTTCCCCCTTCCTACTTTCCTACCCAAAGAATTTCTTAATCCATGAGTAAATATCATCTATCTAAGATGATTAAATTGAGTTTTCCTGAGGATAGGGAAAGAGAAAAAAGCCCTATGATTTTGTAGTAGAAGAATTATATATATATTCCCATTTACTATATGTTTTTTAAAATATGATTTTAATTGAGATTCTTGTTTTAATTTAGGGGTTGTAGCCCAGAATCTTAGGATGGGACATCAAATTGGTTTAAAAAGGAATTATAGAGTATTAAAGGGGTATATAAATTACTGGGAATATATCAGTTTTTATTCTTTACATATGCAATGGATTATAGTAAGACTCAAGTTGTCCTAAATAAGACAGGGCATTCATATCTCGTATTTAGGCAAGATTTGCTTTTGCAGCTCTGACTATTACCCAGGATTTCATTTCTCTCCTCCTGTCAGTTAGGCTCCCCTGACTTCCTTCTTCACTGACAGCTCTGGGCTCTCCCCTCAGTATCACAAAATGACCATTGCAGTGCCAGACTTCTCATTCTTATTCTGCTCTTGGAAAGAGAGGCCATCACCTGTAGTTACTGTGGAAGAGAAAGGGTCAGGGACTGGGAACATGTCTCTTTCTCATGGGTTATAATTGGTTTATGTCCCCATCTTTGAACCAATCACTGTAACTGAATGATCACATTCCTTCATTGGCTGAAACCAGTCAAGGTCCATCCCTTCTCAAGAGTCATTCTGAAAACCCTGGCTAAGAATTGAAGATGAGTGATTTTTCCACAGGATATTTGGGGTTCTTATTCTAGAAAGAAGGGGAAAGTTGCTAAGCATCAAACCATAGTAATTTGCTTAAAGTTAATTCAGATTTTGAGCTGAAGACTTTTGTTATGTTTGTAGGGATCATCCATGTATCATGTGGACTGGAGGCTGCAGGAGAATTCCAGTTTTGGTATTCCATGCTGAGGCCATTCTGACAAAGGACAACAATATTCGAGTAATTGGAGGTAGGTATAACCTCTCCCACAGAGGGCAGAGCTGGTCAACTTTCCTGACAACTTTGGAAAACATTAGTATGACGTATGGATAGAGAAAAGGCCTTGGCCATGAGAAAAATCTATTAAGTTGTTACTTGAAGATTATTTAAAAATTTTTAAATTATATGTGCATGCATGTTTGTGTGTGTGTGTATATATATTGTGATAAATTATGTGTGACAAAATTTACCATTTTAGGTTGCACATTTCATTGGCATTTAGTACATTCTCAATGTTGTGCACCATCACCACTGTCTGAGACATTATCCCAGAAGTAAGGTGTAGCTCATTGGTAGAGGGCTTGCCTAGCATGAAAAAGCCCTGGGTGTAATCCCCCAGGTCTGCAAAAAAGAAAACAAAAAGAAAAAAGAAATTAAAGCCCACACCCATTAAGCAGTCACTTTCTATGCCACCAGCCCCCAGAAACTTCTAATCTACTTTTGGTCTCTATGGATTTGCCTACTCTAGATATTTCATAGAAATGGAATCATACAATTGTGCCTTCTGTGTGTGTGGGTTCTTTCACTTAGCATGTTGGCAGGGTCGGTCCATGTTGGAGCATGTATCAGTCCTTCATTCGTTTTTATGACTGGATAGTATTCCATTGAATGGATATACCAATTTCATTTATCCTTTTATCAAATGATATTTTTGGTGTTTCTATCTTTTGTCTGTGGTGAATAGTGCTGCTTTGAGGGTTTGTGGACAACGTTTTGTTCAGGTACCTGTTTTCAATTCTCTTGAGTATGACTCGGGAATGAATTATTAGATAATTCTCTCTCTCTCTTTTTTTTTTTTTTGTGGTAGTTGGAGTCAAACCCAGGCGCACTCTACCATTCTGACCCCTTTATTAAGTTTTATTTTGAGACAGGGTCTCACTAAGTTGCTGGGGCTGGTCTTGAACTTGAATCCTCCTGCCTTAGCCTCCTGAGAAACTGGAATTACAGGTGTGAACCGCTGTGCCTCGATTCTGTTGAACTTTAAGGAGCTGTCAAACTGTTTCTACAGCAGCTGCTTCATTTTACATTTTCACCAAAATGATAATGGCTTCCAATTTTGCTATATTCTCACTAATATTTGTTGTTTTCTGTTTTATAGATTATAGTCATCTGGTGGGTATGAAGTGATATTATGGTTTTGATTTTCATTTCCCTAATGACTAATGACAGTGATCATCTTTTTGTGTGCTTTCATGTGCTTGGCCATTTGTATGCCTTCTTTGGAGAAATGTCTTATGTGCATGCATGTGGCTCTACCTCTGAGCCACAATCCTAACCCTAAGCTAAATAGTCTTTGATTTATTTTGAGTTAATTTTTTTAATATTGTGTTTTGTAAAAGTCCACCTTCATTCTTGTTCTGGCATGATTAGTTGAGGAAACCATTCGTTCCCCATTGAATGGTTGTGGCACTGTCATCAAAAATTAATTTAGTTCGAGGGCGATGGAGCACACCTATAATCCCAGCAGCTTAGGAGGCTGAGACAGGAGGATCTCGAGTTAAACCAGCCTCAGCAATGGCGAGGTGCTTAGCAGTGAGACCCTATCTCTAAATAAAATACAAAATAGGGCTGGGGACGTAGCTCAGTGATTGAGTGCCCCTGAATTCAAGCCCCAATACCCTAAAATAAATAAATTAATTAATTAATTGACTGGGCTGGGGCTGTAGCTCGGTGGTAGAGTGCTTGCCTAGAATGTATGAGGCAACTGGGTTTGATCCTCAGCACCACATGTAAATAAATAAATAAACAACGGTATTGTGTCCATCTACAACTAAAAAATATATATTAAAAAATCAATTTACCATAGATTTATGGATGTATTTCTAGACTCTTTATATGCCATTGTTCTGTACATTTATCCTTATTCTGGTAGCATCCTGTGTGGGTACTAATACATTGTATTAAGTTTTGAAGTAGGGAAGTGTAAGGCCTCTAATTTTTTTTTAATCTTTTTAAAATTATTTTTTATATATGATAGTGGAATGCATTACAATTCATATCACACATATAGAGCACAATTTTTCATACCTCTAGTTGTATACAAAGTATATTCACACCAATTCGTGTCTTCATTTATGTACTTTGGATAATGATGTCCATCACATTCCACCATCATTCCCCTGCCCCCTCCCTTCCCCTCCCACCCCTCTGCCCTGTGTAGAGTTCCTCTATTCCTCCCATGCTCCCCCCTTCCTATCCCACTATGAACCAGCCTCCTTATATCAGAGAAAACATTCGGCATTTGGTTTTTTGGGATTGGCTAACTTCACTTATCATTATCTTCTCCAACTCCATCCATTTACCTGCAAATGCCATGATTTTTTCTCTTTTATTGCTCAGTAATATTCCATTGTGTATAAATGCCACATTTTTTTTAATTGAAGGGATCTAGGTTGCTTCCACAAAGGCCTCTAATATTGTTGTTCTTTTTTAAGATTGTTTAGGCCATTCAGGGTCCTTTGTAATTCTTTGCAATTTGTATAAGAATTTTAGGATCAGCTTTATCTCTGTAAAATTGGCCATTGGGATGTTGATAGGGAGTGCACTGAAGTTTGTAAATCACTAAGCTGTGCTGTGAGTCCTGGGGTTAGTCTGTTTTCAGGGGTTATAACAGTATGGATAAGGACCATCATTTGGTGTAGTAGAGAGTCCATATTTGGGTTCTCAGTGATTGACATTTACTAGCTATGAGTCTTGGGCAAGTCACTTAAACTCTTTTAATCAGTTTCATTATTAGTTAAATGGGATAACTTCTACCTTGCAGGCATTGTGAGGATCAAATGAGATTGTTTAATGTCAGGCACATGGTGGGCACTCAGAACTTGTGTCTCTCACTCTACTTGATGAACAGGATCTGCTCTACTTTTAAATGGCTTTAAGGTCTGCAGTTACCCCATGATAATCCAGGAATTCAGAGAACTGTGAATCTGCTTTTGGGATTTGAATCCTCTTCCTCCCCAAGGGTCCTTGTGTTCTAATCCCCTCAGTAAGTTGCTAGGTTACCACTTAAAGGGACATGGCTCATTCCTGTTTTCTCTGAAGCCTGAGTAACTGAAGCTTGTGTTGAGAAGCTCCCTCTGAATGTAATTTGAGCCCAAATATCTAAGATGAGAAAAAAACAACAGAAGTTAATAATCCCTACAACACAGGCCTCTTTTGGTCTCCTGTCACATAAAATAATCTATGTATCCTATGACAATAAGCAGAACCTTCTTTTTTAGAATACCTATCATTTATTGGAAAATACTATTCATGAATATTATCATCGTGCTATTCAAGCAATTACTCTTTTCTATAATTTATAAATCTTTGCTTTTTTTTTCTTTACACATTCCCGTGATTAGGGGGAAAAAGACATGAAACTTTTCTCTATCTTTCCTAGTTCCTTGAGGTTTAATAATTTTCTTCACCTTTTATGAAAAGGCAATTTTGAATGACCTATTTGCTTATCTGAATTGTACACTTTTGGTCTTCAACTTTTTTCCCCTTTCTCTGTCTCTTAACCAGCTGACATGGTACATAGATTTGCTCAGATCTTAAGCCTGTAGTTAAATCCCTTGAGAAGTTATCTGGGGCATTAGTTACCTTCTGTTGATTTCATAGTGTTAGGTGCCAACTTCTTTTTTTCTGTTTATCTATTAAATATTTATTGAAATCACTGTTAATAATTTGGTATAGTATGCTTTCTCATGCTTTATTTGTGAACTGATCTAAGAAGATGACTCTTTTCTTACTATAAACTTTTTTCCTCCAAATTGTATGTACTTCAAACATGTAATTAAGATTGTGTTTTAGAGGCAACAGAGGTATTTTCAACTTAAAGTAAGCTTTTTGTAGAATGAAGCATCTTTTTATAATTTGTCTCTGTGTCTATTTAATAAGTTTGTATTTGTAGATAAGCAATAGAAGTATGATATAAGCTATGTATTATTAAATTTGAAAGTTGAAATTAATAATATATTATTTAACCCAATATATTCAAATATTATTCTTCCCATATTTACTTCAAATAAAAATCATTAATAAAGATATTTTATAGCTAGTATGTATTTTGCATTTTGGGTATATCTTAATTTGGTACAGAATTTTCATTGTAAATATTTGATTTATGTTGAGATTTCATAAAGATTTTAGTTGAAAAAGTAAATTCATTTAGTCAGGTTGTTTCAAAGATATTTTCTAATAACTGTTTTCTTTTTTTGTGCTGGGATTGGACCCAGGGTTTTGTGTATATTAATCATGTACTTTATCATTTTGCTCCAGTCCTTGTTTTCTACTGACTTAATTGAGTTTCAATTTTTAAATTTAAATTTTAATTAATTAAGTTTAAATAAAATAAAAAATTTCGGTCCTCTGTCAAACTGGTCACATTTCTATGCTCATTAACCTTATGTGGCTAATGACTACTGTATTGAGTAACATTGGTATGGACCTACTTTTCTGATACTAGGGCACAGCTACAGTATGTTGTCAATTTAAGAGGTTATAGTTTTATTCTAAAAGTCCAATATATCAGTTTTATCTTCATTCTGATTTCCTGTGCTGTTTTTATCTAAACCCCTTAGGGACCTTGACTACTCCCTAGGTTCTTCTGTGCTGACAGTTGGATTATTGGTTTCTTATTTTTATTTGCTTTACTACAGTCAATCCGGGAACTTTCCGCAGGTCCTAGCACTCCAGGTTGCCTCCTAGGGCACATGTGAGTGGTTGGGGAAGAGGAATTCCATAGTCTCATGGTAGAACTGAAGTGGTGCTTGCTTGATCAGAGATCAGAAACAGGATCATTGGCAGTTTGCAGGTGATGAAGGAGACCATATCCTGCCTTTCGTTTTTATGTGGAATAAGGTGATTCTTCCTTGGGCAGTTGGGCAGGTTTGGTTTGCACTTGTAATTCTTCAGTTGACTCTTGCCATGATAGCGAAAGTTAATGTGTATTTTCAGGGTTCTCTAGAGACATAGAAACAATAGAAC